TTATTTGCCTCACGGACAACAGCTTGTGTTGACTGACTGCCTGCCAAATGCTTGCTGGTCAGGGGTGGGGCCAGAGTGTGTTTTTATGCTGCAGCAATGGTTTGCCTGGAGCCCTGACACCTCAACATTGTATTTGCTGCCAGTATTTTTACAAAGTTATTATAAGGTTTATGACATATTGTCTGTGATGTTTCTGGTTATGGCTAGAATATTTATTAGTTTTTGCATAATATGCTTGTTTTTGAAACTGTCTGCAAATATCGTTCTGCCTTGTTCATTGGGTTTTTTGAGGTGGTATGATTCAGTTAGTGGGCAGTCATGTAGGTAGTGACTTGGGGTACCTGTGTCATCGCATGGGCATGTGTCTGTGTTTATTCGCTGCATCCTGTGTAAGAATGAGGGGAAGAAGCCATGTCCTGTAAGGAATTGTATTGCTGCTGGATGGCCTATGAGTCGGTCTGTGTCTACTTTAGGATAATATGATTTTGTTGTATAGCCTTTTTCATTTTCGTCCCAGTATGCTTGCCAAAGTTTTTGTGTGATGTTTTTAAGTTTATTTCTCAGGCTCGATGGTGGAAGCAGAACACCGCTGGGAATCCCGTGACCTGCTGCTGCGTCTTTAGCCGCTAAATCCGCTGCTTCATTGCCTATGTTACCTGTGTGCGCTGCCACCCAGTGTATTTGTGTGTTGCATTTTCTGACTAGGTGTTCTAGTTGTCTTTGTGTTGTTGCCACGTGTGGGTCTTTTTGTTTCGTTTTTCTAATAGCGTGTATACTAGCCAGACTGTCTGTGAAAATTGTTGCATCTTTGCAGCTGTGTGTCTCTAACCAATTGATGGCTTCTTTGATGGCTAAAACCTCTGCTTGAAACACTGTGTTTTCTTGTTTTAACGTAAATTTGTATGTATCTGTATGTTGGTTGTTGTGGTAAACACAGAATGCAGCTCCCACGCCATTGTCTGTTTTGGAGCCATCGGTGTAGATTTGTACCGTCGTTGTTTTGCTAGTACTAGTACTTGTTGGTAGGTTAGTGTATTTATGGCTAGTCTTATGGGCCGGGTGGACCATATGTGTTTTTATCTTTTGTTGATAATCACCCGCTTTTATATTGTATTGTGTGTTTTCTTGATTGAATCTTAGTGTGTTAGCTAGTAGTGCTTCTTTTTGGATTTGCAGGTGCAATGGCGGTAAACCTGCCAGAACATTCAGGATAACCCGAGGGTGTGGCTTACAGTGTTTACCTAAAGTAGGTAAACCCTGTAAGTGTCAAATCAGGAGAGCGTGGTGGCCATTGATCCAGTTCGCCATGCCCAATCCATCTTGTGAACTCTACCTAGCGGTGAACTTACTTTCTTACCATGGATTGCTATGAAATTTAAGTCCTTATGATGTCCCCTACCTTCCCTGCAAGTTTGCTCCTATAATCTTAGGACATCCGGTTACTCAGGCAGGCTTGATATATTATATGCTTTTTTTTCTTAAGTATAATCATTTTCGGGGAACAGGTTCAGTTGTCTACGAGTTATTGTAAAAAATATTATAACATTCATTAAATAAAGGTAAAAAGATTTTTATAGATTTTGTTCCAGGTTTTAAACTTTCTTTTAAATACTGAATACTACTTTACCAAGTTCAAAGACATCACATTCAATTTAATTTTTAATTTTAATTGAGTTATATAAATTTTAACCTAGTTATTTTAACTTCAACCTTATTTCAGGTGTGATAAATGCAGGGCTCTTGCGCCATTACTCACTCATTTCAGCTAAAATTGGTTGATTGCGCAGAAAAGAATCTAAAGTGATGGAGGATAAAAATGTATCATTATACTATAAAGTTATTAGGTACACTCGAATTATTTATAAATTTTAACCTTTTCAAAAATAAATCTTTCTATTACATTGAAGCTTTCACAATAATTAATTATCACATTAGTGGGATTTTATTACAAAGATGTAAACTTGATATGATTGTAATGTATAGAGTCACCAAGCAAAGACAGATAATTGGAATAAAAACTGCCGAAGTTATTTTCTTAATATTTAAAATGTCTAAAATCAGTTAAAATAAGTTTAATGGAAAAAATATATTTGAAATCATGAGGCATTTTACTCTTAAATGCAATAAAAAAATAACGCTACGTAAAAATCTCAAATTAAGAAAAAAAATCTATTTTAAAATTCTTTCAAAATTTATATCTTACTAAATATTTTTACTGTCATTTATCTATTGAAAGGAGAATCTACGATGTCATTTTCTCAAAAGACACCTCCATTCTAATATACGATATATCTTAAGGGAAGAATATCTCACAAAGTTCTTGTGAATAATTTTCTTTTACAATTGCCAATTTAAAATGCCCATTACCAACTAGAGGCTAGTTTTTATAAATGTTGCATTTAATCATTTATATAAGGGTTGAAACTTTCCTTTTAAATGAAAAATATTCTATTCTTAAAATATACTACCAAAGGGGTTGTAGAATTTCATTGCGCCATAATTTTTTCTAAACCCTTACTTTTGTTGGTTTTTGAATTTCATCCAGTCTAGGAAAATTTTTTTACTCATAAATTGCATAAAAAAATTCCAGCCGTTTCATTTTTGATAACACGCTAGTGAGATAAGGTTCCATCAAAGCAATTCGCAATAATATAAATCATGGCCAAAATATATTTCGAGAGTTCTTATATTCTATGCTTTTCTTTGTTACTGTCATTTTTTTTGTTGAATATATAAAAAAAAAATATCTGCACTGTCATCTTACCTTTTGGTTTGTATATTTTGTTATTTTTGATGAAAAGAATTCAGTGCTTCGTATATTTTTGAACTGACTTGTTATTCTACGTTTTTAAGATTTGATAAATTTGCTTGTTGTTTTATTGCAATTTTTCGAATGAAAGTCATATTTCGTAAAAATGGAACAAATGAATGATTTTTGATTTCAGGAAGCATAATAGGAATACCATTTGAAAAGTAATTTCTTTGATTTCAACAAAAGTAAAAGTTTATCCCGTACGCAAAAATGGTATTAAAGATCATTATACAAAATTCTAAATTTTGAAAAATTGTGTAATTTATTATTCTGTGATTTTTAGAGTAGATGAAATTGACAGATGTTTTATTTAAATTCTATTTCTGAAATATAAATTCCAAACATTTAAGCTAAATTTTATATCTAAAGCATTTTTGAAGTAGAGTAAAAGTCACATTTTCCAAAAATTGAACAACTGACTGATTTTTTAATTTAAACTTTAAGAACAACCCAACAAATTATACAGGGTGTCCCAAAACGACCGCATAAACTCTACAGAGCTAGATTACTCGTTTGGAGTACATAAAAACTGCTCAAAGAAACTTCCTGTACTATCCATAGTTTACGAGAAAAATACGAAAAACAAAGTTTGACGTCACTGCCGGTGCAGGAAAAAAAACACTTTATTTGACATATCCATGGCGTGCTCAAGCCTGGCTCGACATGCACGGCGGACACTTTGACCATCTGCTTTAAATTGTGCATAGTATACTGCTGTTGATATGTTCAATGTTGCAATGAGTGTTTTTTCTTGCACCGGCAGTGATGTCATACTTTGTTTTTCGTAAACTATGGATAGTACAGGAACGCTTCTTTGAGCAGTTTTAATGTACTCCCAACGAGGAATCTAGCTGTGCAGAGTTTATGCTGTCGTTTTGGGACACCCTGTATTGTTTATTCAGCTCGTTTTGAAATATATTAAAGGTTTAGGAAGTAAAAAAGTAAATTCAAATTATGAAATAATTTATATTGCTTCCAATCTATAATATGCAACTTTTTGTCTCTCTACTTGTATCATATTTTTAATATCGATACAGTATTTTAGGTTTTTCCTCTGATCTGTGTCTAATCGTTGAGATTGACGTAGCATTATAGGCCATCTTTAATATGCTTTTAAGCAAATTAAAAATGTCCAATAATACTGTTGGTAAAAACTATTTCCTATTTTTTTAATGCCCAATATACGTTATGATAAAATTAAAAAAATATAATTAACAATTAATTCTGAATCTAAATCAATTTTCTAAAGTTTCGTTTCTTGATTAAATTCAAGTAGATTTAGGGACAAACTTTTTGTGAACATTTTGAAAACCAAATTTTTCATTTTTAAAATTTTAGCAAACGTTGAGCTGTATTAATTTTTTTCTTGACTGGTTCTGTGTTCTCAATGGTAGGGGACTTTATTTGCGGATGTTTCAATTTCCAGTAGAAGATTCTCTTGTATCGATTGATTTTTATGATTTTCTATTGAGTCTGGTGGCAGCAGTATAGCCACCTCTGGCTCTTGTGCACATAGACTACAACCTACCAACTATGTTTTTCTCCTTTACATGATCTTTGAACTTATATTTTAATATAATAATTTGTTTTCGATATCGAAAAATTTGTTTGCAAATGGCGACATTTGTTTTGCTTTTGAGTGTACCATGCGTTTAATCACTAATTTGTCATCTGCAACTAAGATCTTTAAATTACCTGAACACATATCACCGAATTCAATGAAATAATGCATTAAAGAGGAAGGACAGAAACGAAATAGTCACGTTCTGTCATGACGTCAAAGGAGGACAGAAAGGCTTCCTGTATGGTTTCTTTTTTTAGGATAGTGGGTGCATACCGTTATTTTTGACAACCATTTGAAATCGCGTGACGCATGATTTTAGATGCTTGTCATATGTGACTAGCGATGTCCCGTGCTTTTTGACGAAAAAATGTGGATAGAATATTTGACAAAATTGCTATACGTTAAGCATAGAAATTGCGAGGTTTGATCGCACGTTTGACAAGCAGATTTCTCGGGATCAAATCCTGCTGATGATTGAGAGCTCATTCACCCATTTTTCTATTTTTTGCTGTATTTTCTAAACGATTTGCGTTAGTATATATGTAGTTTTAATACAAATGATTTTGGCAAAATTCACATTGAAATATAAGTAAAGAATATACTTTCATCAATTTCGTGAAATGTTTTTTCTTCTGGGCCACGATTTCTTCAAAAAAGAATAAAATTTCGTAAATTTCTGAATATCGATTGAATTTTATTGTTTTTTACTGCTGATTATTTGTATTGTATTGTATTTTTACAGCGAAATTTTGGTTAAAAAAAAGAGGAAGGCACTCTATTGTTCGTCTTAAATATTAGTATCCCAGTTTAAACTCTTTTACATATTAGAGTAAACCAATAAGCCAAGTTTGAAAATAAAAAATCTTTTTGGTTCGAAAAAAAACACTCTTTTATTTTATTCTTAGAATGTTTGAGAAAAGATTTCTTTATGAGTCCCAACACGTCTGGGCGTGTTCATCGAACGTGGGGATGCACGACAGAAGAAACGAGCTTAGCTTTCTCAAATCCCTGGCGAGGAGTTTTCGCCCATTGTCACTTTCTTGGTCATTTATTCGGCAATACAAGAACATCAAAGTAGCCATTTACGGCCGATTTAAGTCTTATAATCGGCAGTGCGGTGAATGTTTTGACATTAACCGAATATTTCTTTTCAAATGGCTTTTAAAGTTAAGCCGATATGGGGGTGAGAGAAACTCTTTTAAGATGTTCTTAAATGACAACCTCTTGGAAAAAGAGTTTGTAAAAGTATTGCTGCTGACTTAAGATGAGCTTGTTATCCCATTACAAAACAGTAAAATGTAATGACCTCGAAATTTCCAAAAAAGATATCATATTGTTCTTGAAGAATTTTGATGTTTCTCTTTAAATAAAGACTTCAACAGAAGTATACTTTCTTGAACAATAAATCTTAAGTTTACAAGGCGACAGATTTCAAGAATTGCCGATTTGTTTTAAATAATTGTATACAAGATAAACATTCATTATTGAATAGCGTATTATGTAAGTAATGCACGTAGTTTCTGTTTGGACTAACTTGTATTCTCGTTTTTGTGAAATTGATTTGTATAACATTTAGTTCTATTGCAGCCTTGTTGGTGTCGTCGGCTCTCTCGTTTCTTAAACCTCTGATATGTCCTCTAAAGCTTCTCACTGTAACAAATTTCTTGATACATTTTCATGCATTATATTTTCGTATCATTATTATAAAAGTCTTGCAGTGACGCAAGCACGGATTGGTAATCTGTGCACATCTTAATATTTATAATATTTTTAAATGCCCATTCAGTAGCTTGTACACTGTGAAAAAGTTTGACATATAGTTATCATTTTTGCTGTTGAGGTAAACTAAATACAGTTTTAAGAAGAAAACTGTAGTTAGCGTGTAAAATAATTGTATAAAATAGATCAAAATATCAATTATTTAACAGATTTAGCTTGAATATATTACTGAAAATGTGCTAATTTTTTCCAAACGAAATGATTTTGCAATGACGTCATTAAATTGAATCTAACACGTAAGAAAATATGTGTAGTCAGTAAACAAACAATGAGTGAAGGAATGAATTAGAAAATAAAAAAATATATAAGTAAATAAATAAAACTATAACAATAAAAAAAAATAAAAATATTTTGACGATGCGAAAATTTTTAGCTTATCTCAAAACCAAAAATGGTGGCAACTGTACAGCAAAATTTCACAGTGTAGAAGGGCGCATTCTGTCAACCTTCAGTTATAGCTACTGAATTCTACTTCGTTTTTAAATATAATATCATTGCAGACTTAGCATTCGTTTTTTTTCTTCTTTGCTGCCTTTCGTAAATATCTTCCACAGTTTATTTCTTGTTACGTTTACCAGGTTTCCATTCTGTACGATATTAACTGGAGGATTTCAGTCTCGTGTTGGTCTTAGTTCAACTTTTAAAGTTTAAGTTGCTCTTAGAACGTAGATTTTCCCTCGCCGCTTCGAGATTATCTAAGATAAATTTTTTTAAGTGAAATACATGTGTTATAATTACCGGTATCGCAAGTAAATTTACAAAACAACTGTCACAACCGTAAAAAATTTCAATAATTAATGAATATAAAATACGGGTATTATATCAGATGTAGAAATGTAGTTAAAATAAAAATATAAGGAGTTAAATCCGGCAATCATAAAATCTTCATATTATTTGAGTTTATTTGTGAACGCACTACTTGAATATTACTAGATTGTTTTAGCTTTAATGAACCCTTAACAGTTAAATATTATTTTACCTATTGTGACCAATTTAAATATCAAAGAATTAAATATTTTGTCTGTCATCATCCTATATAGCGCTTTTACTAGTTCATAAGTCTGATGTCTCATAATAGTTTTTTCCTTCACCTTAAGCACAATCATTTATTTACTTCAGTTTAGTATCTGAATCACTGTGGTTAAGACACTGAGCTGTCATTGCGAAAGATTCGGGTTTTATCTATGGGATGCCTAGGAAATAAAGGCGACCGGTGCGCATTACTATCATTATGCCGTGGTCTTTAAATTGTGGAGCCTTCACTTTCAAGAGTCCTTGATAGATTACTCACCCTGAGGATCTTACTTAGTTTAAATAATCAGCTATGCATTTTACATATGATACTAAGTTTATGGTATGGTAGAGCCATTTTTGGCTTTTTATGGGATGTTTCAGAAGTAAAGGCAGCTGGTGAGCAATACCAAATACATTGCTACAACTATACAGTAACCTCCAAATTGTGAAGCCTTGATTTTCAAGGATCCTTAACCGACGTCACCAAGAAGGCTTTATTTAGTTTAAGTAATCAGCTATGCATTTTACATAAGACACCAAGTTCATGGTGTGGTGGAGCCATTTCTGATTTTTTTTTATCAAAGGGATAATTTTGAAGTAAACGTGGCTAGTGCACAATACCAACAACATTGCTACCATTAGACCGTGGTCTTCAAGTTTTGGAAACCTGACTTTCAAGACCCTTTAATAAACAACTCACCGAGAGTGTTTCACTTAGTCTATTGTGTAAAATGCATGGTTGGTTATTTAACCCTAATTGGTGCTGCATACCTATTTCTGACTTTCGAGTCCCTAACTGCAAGCTAACCAACAAACATTTGTCCATTAATTACAGTGAAAAAAGTAATATGTTGTTCTCAGCTCAAAGACAAACTAATATAAACCATATATATAACGATAAAAGATAATATTTAAACGAAATTGTCTAGTTAGGTCAAAATGTGATTTATGAAGAACACCTGCAAAAATAACACATTTATATTTATTATAACTATTTCACGTATAAGAAACTAAAAGCATTAACTAGAAATATGTGTCAAAAATTTGAAATGTTACTCCAGCGTTATTCAAAAATAAAAATACTTTCTGAAATAATGGAATGTAAAAACACGAACTAAGAAAGAATTTGATATACCTTCGAAGCGCTATTCTTCAAAAAATATATCTTAGAAATAATTTTTTTTTAAAGGAAAAAAAAATCTAGTTGCTTTTATTTTCTCGCAATTTCTCTTTGAAAAGTTAAAAAGAAAGGAAGTCGAGTTACTCTGAAACTTGATTTTCTCTTGTCAAAATCCGTTCCGTAAGTTATCAACTACAGTACACTGTAATCACATTTATTCTAGCTTTAGGAGATTGCTTGAACGGTGAAATAAATTTGTTGCCTTATTGAAGTTGAAAATTGCACTTAAGAACTATATTTTGAGAATTGATAATGCTGTGAATGCTCCCCGGGAAAACAGATGTGCATTATCATGACTGAAATTGAAAGAATAGCTTTTATACGCCAAATCAAATTTTAATTTTTACTCTGAATAATAAAACCACTCCTGAAGAAGGAATTAAAGAAAAATACTTCTAAAAAATGCTGCTATTAATAACTGTTAACGTCAAAAACATATTTTGGGTATTTATTATGCTCGATAAAAAATTCGACACATAAAGAATTTATTCAATAAATTTTGCTTTCAATAAACGTTGGTACTTTTTATGAGACATTCGAGAATAAAAATGCTTCGAAATGTATTTCTGGAAAAAAAAATGAAGTAAAAAGTTTCGAGACAGCCTGAAGTGATTAACGATGTCGGAAAACTGAAGTAAAAATAAAAGATATTTATCCAAGCTAATCAGTCACTCCAAATGACATTATGTGTTCCAGAAGAAGAAAGTGCCTTTGTAAGTAACAGGTAGTTTTTGCCGTTCCGTACCCCAATATCGAACACAAAAAAATCGATGGCTTCGATTTCTTTTAGTTAATAGCATGCGTTTGTGAATATATTTTCAGAAACTTTTCTGGAGAGTTTCTCTCTTAAAATTATCAATAATGGCAAAAATATGCCAATGAATGAAAAACATCGTAAGTGGTGGGTTAAGTTAAATAATTAATTTTCTTTTGAGGTGGCATTCTGAAACTCTCACATAAAGAAATTCTGCCACTGAGTAACAATGTTATGCAAAGTGAATTATTATTAAGAGATGACCAAAAAGTGTCTGTTCGAAGGCTGTACAATCTAGATTTGGTTACTTATGCCTAGTTACGCAATATCATCTTAAGCATCCAACTGATTTGGATTTGCACATGTTGATAGATCATATTTTATTTCAGTAATCACATAGATTAAAAAAAAACTTTATAAGCACTATTCATTTTTCTCGAGACATGGTAGGAAACAGGGCTCATATATCTCCGTTCAATTCATACTATAGCAGTTTACACACACTTGTTTGAAGCAGACTCTTGCTGCACTCTAGTTGTAAAGACATGCACTGGATGGCACTAGCAATGGCTCAGAACACGTTTTACCACCTTGAATATATATGGTTTGTAAAAATATTTTGTTTTACTTACTCATGGTCATCTGCGCTTTTTGCTCTGTCATGAAATCGTTGAACTTTCTTGGATTTTTTTAAAAGTTCAACAATGTCAAAATCACACGGAGAATGATCGCGATTGTAAGGTGGGTGCTTGACTATCGCCCATTTTAGTCTGCGCAACTTCTGTATTACCGCAATTGCGCTATGGAGACGTGCGTTATCCTGAAGAAAAATTATCCCATTTCATAGTTTCACGTACTTTATATTCTTTATTTGTATCCCAAATAGCACCTAATGTTAGATAACATCAGAGAATCAGTAAAATCTAACCTTATCTAGCACAACTTCTAATATTAGAACGATAAAAATGGTCGCCGTTTGCTCTGCATTATACAATATTAGACTCTATGCAAATGAATATTATCTAGCGTTCGCCGTAATATCATTTTGTGTTATTTCAGACGCTGTATAATATTAGATTTTGTATTTTCTGATATTATCTTGCGTTGCTCTTTATTCTGAGGAGTAAGCAAGAGGAGGATTTGGATGGTAGTAGAATAATTCGGCGATATAATTTTACTTAATTTTCCGTATTGCTGTGAGGCTGTTAAACATGGAACAATAATTTTATAAAGTTATTCAATGCATTATTTACTTTGCAATACAGAAATACTAAATAAAACTATATTAGCGAATTCTGCTATCATCCATTTACCTCCCTCTTACTCCAAAGTATATGTTATGTTCAACTGATATAATTGAATATTTAAAGCTTATTTAAGAAATAATACTATATCGCAGCTTTTATTGATATTTTTTGCTTTTCTTCATGCAATGGGTTTTCTGACGAATTTTATATCACTAATAATTTTCAATTCCTTCATTTTGAAATAGATTCTTAATTTTTTTTATAGAAATGAGCATATTTTATCAAAATCTTAATTGAATTTTTTAGTTTGTAAAACATATTTTATAAAAGTTGTAATTTAAGCCATTTGTCATTTTACAATTATCATTCATTATTTATATTCTGAAATTATATAATATAAAAACCACACTATGTAATTGCAAAGTAAAATTTACATTTGAATTTAGTTGAAAATTCATCTTAATTTTTTTCTTTTAAAATTTAACTATGTCATTCATTTCCAAAAATATAAAAATAAAATTATGTCTCGAATTTCCAAATTGTTAGTTTTTGTAATAATACTATTTTGAATAAAAAAATTAAAAATATTAAAATTAAAATAAAAAAAATTAAAAATATTAAAATTAAAATTAAAAAAATTAAAAATATTTAAATTAAGAATTTTTCATTTTATTTTTCACTGAAATAAAATGGAAAATTACTTACGTAACTTTACCCTTTTAGAATCTGAAATTTTACTTACAAAACACTCAAGAACTTTAATGATGCTTGTGTTCTTTCTCAGAATATCTTGGATTACGTTTTCGAATGGTCGAAACTTTATAAGCTGGAATTCAATCCTTTGAAATCTAAAGTTATGATGATACATAAAAAGTCGATGCCGGATGGGGATATTCAGTTGACTCTTGGGAATGAACCTATTGAAGAAGTAAAGCAGATAAAGTATTTGGGAGTTATTGTTGATAATAAACTGCTGTTTAAGCAGCACATATCTTATGTATCCAGTAAAAGTGAAAAACTTCTTCTTGCTTTATTGCGAATTTCAAAAAATACTTATGGGGTTAAAACAGATGTTCTTAAATTAATATATAATCAAGGTATTGTACCACTTATTTCATATGCTTCAGGATCTTGGGGAAACTCTTTGAGAAAGAAGATAAATATTAGAATCCTTAGAAGAACTCAAAGAAGAATTCTTCTACGTATTATTCGGGGATATAGAACTGCTAGTTATGATGCGGTCTTTGTTATCGCTGGTCTTCCACCTATTGATTTAATTATCTTAAATAATCTTGAATTAAAGGAGAAGATAAAAGACAACGATTGTCTAACCCTGGACGGGAAGCTTCCTATTTCATGTTTGCCCCACCCAGCATGCAGGAAACCTGTTATAATTATTCCTTATGTAAATAATGTTTTTCAGGAATATGAAACTATCTGCTTTACGGATGGTAGTAAGCTTGATGGAAGGGTTGGTCTTGCTTTTGTAATTTATGAAAATGTAACAGAGAAGGTTACTGCCAAGCACCGACTACATAATGAATGTACTGTTTTCCAGGCTGAACTTTTGTGTATAAACCTGGTCGTTAAGTGGATACAAAATTTTTTTAGTGAAAACCAAATTTTTAAATATCTCATTTGTATAGATTCTCTTTCTTCACTTTTTCTTTTGCGTGACACGACTTCTACTGAAAAGCTTGTGGTAGAAATTCACTCGATTTTGAACGCTCTTGAAAACGTAACTATTCATTTTTCTTACGTTCGTGGCCATAGCGGTATTTTGGGCAATGAAAGAGCAGACCAATTGGCTAGGGAAGCTACGTGTGGTGAAATAGTCTTAAGGGTGTCTGTTCCAGCTTCTCACTGGAAGCGCATCGCTAGAGATAAAATCATTGCGGACTGGAATGCTGAATTTCTTACTTCGCCTCGGTCACTTTGGGCGAAAAGGTTCTTTCCATCCATTTTTCACCGTTTGCAATGCAAATTCTTTGCAACTGATTTTAAATTGACCCAAATTTTAACAAACCATGGAAATTTTAAGAGATATTTATTACGTTTCCATCTGCAGACCAGTGGAATTTGTGCTTGCGGTGATGCTGATGAAGATGCTGAACATATTCTTCTTCATTGTAGTCTGTATGCGAGTGCCCGAATAAATTTAAAGACTGATTTGAGACGTCTTTCTATTTGTTGGCCACCTGTCTTGTCAGAACTGGTCAAAAGTATTGAAAGTCTTGCGGCCTTGCGGAATTTTGTTTTGAATGTAAATTTGTAAATTTTTCCTCTTTTGTTTTCTACTTACAACTGTAAGCCTCATGCTATACTTTGTGGTGCATGAGGAGTTTTAAGTCGTTTAAATAAATAAATAAATTAAAAAAAAAAAAAACACTTGAAACAAAACGTAAAGGCACCTGCAGAAATATTTTCAGGGAGTGAAACAAAGAAAGCCTTAATGAAATTTAAGTAAAAAATTTGGCAATAATTTCTTGTAATGTAAAAATAATTTTACATTGGCACATAAAAAAGTTTTAATGATTCAATAATTAGTTAAAGGTACTATGTATTAACTAACAATTTTAGCCGAAAAAGTTAGGTAACATTTAAATTTCAAAACCAACAAAAAGCAGCAAATATTGTATACTTTATATTTCCGGAGTTCCGTATCCCAGACATGGATACATATTTTCCGGTGAAGGACTATCGGTTTTAGTCCTTTAACACGTTGGTCTTGTATTGACGCATTAACTAATGCAGTAATTGTTAGCATCCTAGCATTAACCCTTCACTCTCGGTAAATAAGCGAATGCTGTACCCAGATGTCCTTGCTCATATGCTTTGTAGGCGCCAGTTGCATTTGCATGTAACCTGCAACAAGCCCTCAAACAGAATCTTTTTTGAGAAAATCTTATGTTTTCTTAGCCAAAGGTCTTTTTAAACCAGAGAACTTTAAATATGAGTTCAGTTGAAATTATTTGAATACTATATATTTTTAGAGCCCAGTATTTTGTCAAACTTTGATATATAGTGTGATATTCAACTAAGTTAGTTTATTTTCCTTTTTATTTTGGAATTGAACTTGTTCAAATTAATGTTTTGTAATTTTGAATGTAACTAAGTCTAACATGGAAAAATGCGGAGCCTTTAAGAATACAGAGCCTTTGTAGTAAGTCTATCTATAACAGAATGGCCAGTATAACAGAATTTTAAGCCTGAGTCTGTTGTTTAAGAATCTTAAGTTTAAATTGTCGATTGATTTCTGCATTAGGTTATTGCTTTAATGTTATGATTATAACGAGGTTATACTACATATATTTTTATAAAAATTATATATAACCGTGTTTTTGTCTAAACATTTTCTGTTCTCATTCAAACAGATTCTCATTTTATTTTGCATGTTTTGGCGTGTATCATTTCATCAATTTTGAGCAGTTTCTGAAAATACGATAACTTTTACCATTAAAGCCTACATTTATTTGAATTTGCGCAACAAAACTTTAGTCTTTTTTTTAATATGTTTTTAATATCCTCTTTAAAATGGATTTTCGTATTTATTAGCTTATGTTATATATGTATATAAATGTCATACGTTTGTTATGTGATATTTCGTAGATAAAGGTCATAGTTTTTAACTGATAAGATGTAAAAAGTATCATATACAAGTACGTATGTTAGTGTTGTAGTCATTTTAATAACCTTCCTCTTACAAGAGCATTGCTATTTTGATTTATTTTAGACTTTAGTTGCGAATCATTTATGATCTTCCTATTACTGTATTTATATAAAATCGAGACTAACCATAATATTTTTTGCTGTTATTTATTGACTCTAAATATAAGAGTTTGATTGATAAAATAATTGATATCCAGTTTCTTGAGACGAGCTCATTAATTTTTACACAATATATTGCCTTTGAAGCATATCAACTGTGTATTCTTATCATATCTTATGAGTATCATTTACGGTTTGATTAGAGTTTTACAATTAGGAGAATTTTGCAATTGTGATTATTATATTCATGAGAAAAACATTAAAATTCATATTATGTTTAAATTTGAAGCACTTTTAAGTACTTTATTTGTTGCAATACAAAGTTTAAGTTATTTTTACATTTTTCTTTTTGAAACAAAAGCAAAACATGAAATGTGTACTTCGTTTAAATACTTATTTTAACTTAAAATATAGATAAAAAGCTATGTAAATTTTGAAACTACTCAAAATTCGATGAAGAATGATTATACTATGGAAATGAGAAACACGTGTAACGCAACAATATCATCAAATTAACTTCTTCCAATTATTTGAAATAGTTTTTAAGAGTGTATCATTATTTAATTGATGCATCAAAAAACTGAATAACTAATATGCTTCTGACATAAAAGCATTATCTACTATTGATACCAATTAAATAAATTAAAATGCATAATTTGTAGCTCTTATTTAAAACTTTTCAAATAGCATAAAAGCTAAGCACAATTTATGCTATATTATGTAATTATGACGATCACTTATGAATTCTAAATACGAATTCAACTTGAATAGACGTGAATGTAATTGGCTGGAGAGAAGTGTTTTCAAAATAAAGTATCATCAACTCTAATAACGAATTCAGAAGCAATCGTTTCAAAAATTTATTCAGTTATTTTCTTTAAGAACGAGGAAAAAAAATCCCCGCTTTCTTTGTTTCAAAGTACCTGCTCACTTTAGAAAGCATGTTTTATTCAAAAAATGCGCATTACTCAATTCTTGTCATCTCAGTCTTGCATATATAATTCTATTTTAAGAGACTTTTCACTCGAATGCATTTAAATATTTTTATTCTCTTTTATTTAGCTAAACTTTTATTTGTATCTTCACATCGGCGAAATAAATGCCTTTCTGAAGGAGATATTTTCGAGAGGGAATTTTATATTTTTGACTTGTTTAAAGATTCATCGCTGTTTCAACTTCATGCTGCTGTAACACTTTGATGAACGAATGGGGCAAGTTACTTAAATCTTTTTCAAAATATCATATATATATACTGCTTAAATAAGCAGAGAAAGAGAGAATTGTAAGCTTATTTACTTTTGTCTTCATAAATATAAGGAAAGAGGTACTTCACTAAAGGAAAGGAGCTTAGATTGTTAGTTTTATAGAATCTTTTATCTCTTTTGAACTGGGTGCACTTAACGAAAATCCTAGACATAAGCAGAAATTCTTTTAGCACTTAACAATTTGATTCGGGCAATAGAAAGGAGCATTTCAATCTAATACAGTTTTTTTATTTCTTTTTAATTTTATGTCAGCGTATTTGTGATTGATAAATAAATATATTGAGAAAATCTTTATTAGGACACGATGTTTGTGATGAAAATATATTTTTTTATAAAAGCTTTAAGTTTATTCTGTTTCGAAACAATACATTTAGTTGAAATGAAAATAAGTTTCGAACTTTGCATTGTTTTATATTTTACATCTGTTTAATTTATGCAAAGGAGTAATTAAAATAAATTGCATTGCTTGTTTATTTAATTGCAATACCTATTTAATTGCATTGCGAGATATATAACACGGAACCAATTATAACAAGTGGTAAATAATACATTATTATGATTAAGTTTTTGATATCTGTGACTAATTTAACTTATCTTTGAAAGAATAATTTTGCTGTTCTAAAGTGTAAAAGTTAAAGCATGATTCAACAATTCACTACCTGATAAAGGCAAGAGAAAATAAAATTACATTAAGTGAAGTGATTCTCAAAAGAAATAAATGTTTTAAAGTAATAAATAAAAAAATTGAACACAATCGAATTTCTGGATAAATTGAAATGAAACATTTCTAAATGTCACTCTAATCAAAGTTTATTGAAAAATTTGCCTAAAAAATGAGTCCACAGGTTTTTAAAACCTTATTTCACAGTCCGCATTACCAATATTAATTTTTACAATAAAGAAGGTTTAAAGTCTTTGTACTACAAAAGTTCATTCATTTTAATAAGGCTAAAATAAATTTATAGTGATGAAATTTTTAGATGTCAAAATATAATACACAAGACTCCACGTTCAACACCATGTTGAGGATCATCATCCTTGATTTCACATACTGGGGAAAAAATCATGAGTGAAAAAAAATCGCTTCTTATGAATTTGGGGGGGGGGGGGGGGGAATTNGGGGGGGGGGGGAGGAGGAATTTCTTGCCAGGTGGTAAAAATGAAAAAAAAATTTTTTTTTTGTACACGTCAATGTTCTGCAACATAGAAAATACTGCAGAGATATGATCAAGCAAAGAGAAAGATATTGCCATATCATAGAGCATTTTTTTTAAAAATTGACAAATATAGCCATACTTATTGGGAGATAGGAGTTATCGACAATGTCAACGTTCATCTATGAAAAAGTACCTCAACATACTAAAGAATTGGAATTGTACTTTCGCAGTGGTAGATACACTACAGTACTCCCCCACCAGAAATTTATCGGTGATGGAATTCGATGAGTGGGATACCACTAGTTGATTTATTGCAGTTTTGAGAGAAGCTGGGAGAGCTGTATTAAGATCACCGTACTTTTGAGTGCTGATAATGAGAACGATCCTGGTCTCTCCTGTGTTGCCATTAGCAGCAGAGTGAATACAGGCCGACGTTGTGTGTGATCGAGTAGTAAAGGGCGAGAAGGTGGATAATGTCGCAGACACAAGTAGCAAGTCAACTACTCAAATAGGTGTGTTCAAATCGAAGTGACGTTACTGTCATGGTAGGCGTGTTCACATCACGTCCGAAGGTCCCCAATGTGGGGACAGGGGTTATCGATAAAGTCAACGTTCGTCTATGGAAAGGTACCCCATCATAGAATCGAGTTAACATGTCTTATATACTAATGATTTGGAATTGTATTTTCGTAGTGGTAGATAAACTACACTTATAACTTGAAACACTTATTATAATTAGTAAAATAAAATAATAAGCATCTCTTTTAGAGAAACGAGGACAGTTTCTTTAATAGGCATTCATAACCATTTTGGGATACCCAGGGGGCCATCGGACCCAGTTCTAACGAGAAGAATATCAAATTTTCAGTAGACGCGATTTTGCTAAATTTGAAGAGTTATCAATAGATTATATAACCAAAACTAAAACCAACCCCGCGTTATCAATAGTAAATTTTGAACAATTGGGATAAGACTTAAACATTAATAAATACAATTTGAATATATTATATAATCCTGTAACCGAAAAATTTTTGTGGTTACAGAAATAAAGTAACTTAAAGAAAAATAAAGTTAAAAATAGATTTTGATATTCGATTTGTCGCCCCACTGAATTTATGAGTTATGGCATATGAATTAAATTAGAAAGTCAGACGTTAATTTAAATGTTAAGAAAAGAATAAAAATATTTCTATTCATTTTTTATAAAATCTGATAGAAACTAAATTTGTTTTTAATTATAACATACTTAAGAATGATTTAAAAAATTTAAAGTATGAAATCAAAGAAATTTTTAAAGTTAGCAAATATGTCTGCCAATAATGGCATCACAGGGAGAATGCACACTTCTAGTTGAAATGTTCAGAGCTGGCTGAACTTGTTGTCAGTCCCAACATAAAAAAAAGTTTATCCTCAATCTAGTCTATGACAAACATGAATTTCGTAGAGTAATTTATATTAGTGGATCAATGCTATTCAAAAATTCTTCCAAGCTTATAATTTTATTTCAATTTTTAATTTAAAAGTTACTTTACCTTCTGAGTAATGATTAAATATCAGAGAAGGCGTAGGTGAAATAATTTACAAAATTTATATTCCATTTCATCGATATGTTTTAAGTTTTTTATAGAAATTATAAATTTTCTGTGTTTACGCATGCTTCTAAATAATTTGCATTTTAAAAATATAGTTAAGAAATTAAATTGCATTTTTAAAAACTAGTTGAACTTCAATTTAAACATTTATTTCATCTGTTTTGAAATAGTATACATTTTTATTTATAATTAGCGTATTTTATAAAAATAATGCAGTAGAATGACCTCAAATGTAAAAAAATAACTAAAATCATCTTACAAAAACAAAACTACAAGAACTAAGAAATAATTGTATTTGATAAAAGGGAGCAACACAGTAAAATTGTTTTATAAAAAGGGGAAAAAATTGCATTTTTCGATAGTTTATCCTTTTAAGATAATTGTATTAAAGTACTGAATTGATTTTTGTAAAATGTAAAAATTACAGCGTAACATGTCGAGAGCGCTGTGGCACGTATGATCCCGTGAACTTGTGATCTCAGTTGTTTAATGGATTTCATCACTGCTATTAAAACATTTTTAGTAAAATACTATCATTTTAACTATTTTATTGAAATAATTTGTTTAAATTATGTAAGAAAAGGAGTTAATGGTACTTTCAATATAAATAGTTGAATTTTGCAACTTATTTCATTGTAACAAGTATTAATAGGGGTTGCCAAAGGTTACCAACAATTTTGTGACAATTTCAAATAAATATTAGCCGAGCAGCTAAAGAATATACTCAAAAGGAAGATGACCACAGAATTTCGGCTGCTGCTCTAAAAACATAAGAGGCTTCGCATGAGAGTAGATCAACAATACAAATGGCTAGACTAGCACTTGAGACAGCTGAAAAAGCTGAAGATGAATCATCTTATGGACCCGGTATTGATGCATTATACTAGTTAGTTGCAAAATTTTGTGTATTTATATGGATTATTGATCACTAAACTAGTACAATTTTCAACGGATTTCCTTCAAATATTTTCACATTGCTCACGATAAATATAGTTTCTTTGCTCGTTGGGGATTTTTAATTAGATTGACTGGTTTTGAGTAATACACGAAAATGTAATATATTTTATATAATTTTTGAATTTTTTTCCAAAACACCACAGTTTTGGACAAAAAAAAAGTTTTTAAATTCCTACAACCTTTAAAAAATATTTTTTTAAAAAATTATAGGATTAATTACTTTTTACGGATAACTTGGTAATTTGACAAACAATTTTTACTTGCAGAAGACTTTTATGCAGTTTAAGAAACTCAAAACGGAATCAAATTTGAATGATTTTATTTTCAGCGTATGAGTACAGGAAATTATGGATAGTTTAAAAATAAATTATGAACATTGCATTATAAGCGCTAATTTTTAAATTTTTTGTATTTGTAACATGATAAAATGGAGATTAAAATAATTACAATAATATAAAAAAAACGTATAAATTTCATCATAATTATTGGTAAAATTAATTAAAAAAAACCTTTTTAACAGGCTTCTACCGTGAGTACACTTGAAACATTTGTGTAATACTCGTTAAAATTAATATCATTATCGCAATATTAGGCTTTTAGCTTTACCGTCAAAATCTATTTCTGAAATGATTGACAGACCAATGATTGTTTCCCTTTCTAACTATTTTCTGCAGATGGATGCATTATAGGCTAACGATAACTATTTTCCCCTTGAAGCTAAATAGGAAAAGAATAGAAGCCATAGAATCTATCATTTCAAGGTAAATCCCACATAGGCTTGCTTTGGGAATGTAATCTTATTCTTATTTCTGAGTTTCCTGAGTAGCTCTTTTTTTCCTATTATCGATTAACTTTGCTATTTTTGTAATGGTCTCGTAACTTTTTGTTCTCCATAAAATGAGCCACAAATAGCGTAGAAAGAAGAACATTTTTGAAATTATCTTTTTCTCTAAAACTATTTGTTCCAAAAATGTTCCTATTGTTCCTTGAACTATTTATTCCCCACATTTAAAATGAGATTCCTGTTTTTCATATGTTCTTTCATTTATTTGCTTAGTTTTGAGATCTCCTGATACAGGCATGCAGTATTATTTCGTATTAATATATGAAAATTTTATCACAATTTATAGCAATTTTACTGGTCAAGCAAATTTCATATGATGTTTAAAAAATTAAACATCCACGGATGTCCGCCAGTTACGCTTGAAATTTACTAATATAGCTGTCA